TATTCATTAAGAGAATGTAACTATATATCTATCCAAACCACTTTGAATACACAGATACAATCGTCTGTGTACCCTTTTTTTGTTAAGTTCCGTTATTTTAATATTATAGGTGTGTAAACTCAGCAAAATATTCTAAAAGAGTTCAGTAGTCCATAATAGTATTGGGTCATTTATATTTCTTATTTTAGCTTCTGCCATGACCTGTGCATCCAGCAGGGTCCTGAGAGGGGATGACAGGAGATTAAGAAAAAATTAGACACATACTCAAAGGAAAGCTGAGACTGGGTGGGATTTGGCCACTCTGATGGAGAAGCAGTCACAACCCCACATGGTCTGTGTCTTTATGCACACTAAAAGGAGGAACGTTTGTGACAGGGCTGAAAGTACAATGTCTGAGTGTTTTGCTGAGAACAGTGAAAATGATACATTCTTAGAGCTCTCTGTGCTGTAGTTAACAGGGAGGAGTACCAAGACCAGATACCTGCTGGACTGGTGTTGCTCTAGCCCCAACAACTTGTTTACATAGCTTGTCTCTGACTTAGCTGAGACTCAGCTGCTTTCTACAGGTTTCTTAAGGTAGAAATTGAAATCATGCATTTTAGTGTTACCTTCTTTCCTTAAATAAATCCTTAGTATTCTAAAGTTTCTTCAGCACTTCTTTAGCTATATGTGATAACTTGATTTTTAAAAATCTTCATTCAGTAAAAATACTTCAGACTTCTCTTTGGATTTTGCTTTGAATCATCAGTTAATTAGATATATGTTTTGTGACCTCCCAAGTTTTTAGTGATTTTTATTTTTTTCTTTTGCTGATTTGTTTTATTAATTTTATTGAAAAACAAATAGCAATGAGACTGTTTCAAAACAGGTTAGTAGGACAGTTACGATAATACATTGCATATTGTTGTCTGCGTAGTAGTTATTCAGTACAAGGTGCAGACATGATATCCTGTCCAAACACTATTAGTACATATCTTTCTTCTCATTGAATTAAGAGAAAGTAGCTGTATATCTATCCTATTTTGTATATACAGATACAAAATAGTCCTTCATTTATATCCTCTTTTTTTGTTTAGTTTTGTCAGAGATGGGTATTCCATTGCTATTTAAATATTGTAGGTGCATGAATTCAGCAAATTGGTCAAGCAGTGGCTGTGACTCATCCACATGGCTGACACTGACAGAGTATCTACAAACTGCGGTACAGGGTTTCAGGGTAAATCCTGAGGAGATTTGACTGACCTTGGCAGATACAAAAGTTACATTCCTGGTTATATAGGTCTTGCTTTATCTTGGTCTTAACCATGCAGCAGAAAAGTATAAAAATGAGATAAAAAGTAAAACCATATTAATATGCTGAGCTGTAAAAGGCTCAAGTCAACAACTTCTGACATTGCCAGTCCTACGGATATAACCCACTACTATTATGGAGTGTTGGACTGTTGCTGATTTCTAATTTTATTTTATTTTTTTGGGGGGGGTTGGTACAGAGTCTCATGATATAGCTTGTAGGGATCCTTCTGTTTCAGCTTCCCCAGTGCTGGGAACAGGCATGCACCACCATGTCCAGTCTCAGTGGCCACTCAGCATGCTCGGGGGCAGTGTCAGCAGAGCATGTGGTGCTGGGGATTGAATCCGGTCCCTGTACTTGGCTGTCTCGCTGCCAGTCCTATTTCTTATTGTTTTTAGCTAGCTAGCTTGCTTGCTTGCTTGCTTTCTCTTTCTTTCCTTCCTT